TAACAGTTAATTAATATTATCAATCGCTTTTTTTTTTGGGGGGGGGGGGAGGTTGGAGCATATTTCAGAGTTTTTAAAAAATATTATTAATATTAATAATAGTTCATTCTTATAATGCTAGGCAAATACTTCATACCTGTTTGCCTATAAAATGACTTAGAATGTATCCTAGGTGATGAATCAGGAAGAGAAAAAGATGATAAAAATGGCACATTTAAATTTGTCTGAGCATTTTCATATGGGGAAACCAAAGCTACCAGTTATTAGAAAGTCAACGGAGCTTACTGAGCGGGGTTTCTATAGGTTGTGATTTATTCTTATAGGAGCTTACTAGCTGATAAGAGCTTAAATCTATTTCAGGATTTGAATAAGTTAAATAAAATTTTTTACTCCACTTTAATGCAAAAATAAAGCCATTAGCAATATCCTCTAATGTTAAGCAATTTTTTTGTTAAAAGCTTTGAGCCTACAATAGAACTGAGTAAAAGAATTCTTTATAAAGATGAATTAAGTTGGATGACATCTGAATTTTTGTTAAATCCATTCATTCCACGAATACAAGAGAACAGTAACTCAAGATGATCTTGTGAAAATTTGTATGTTAAGCAAAATTTAAAAGGATGAACGTTTAAAGTCAAAAGTTCACAGGCTAATACAAAGGTTTTTTTCCTATGTTTTAATAATCGAATAATTTGTCAATGACCCTTATAAAATTTATAGTTCCTTCAACATGCTTGAAATTTGGATATTTAGATAACATAAGAAATTCAATTGCATCTGCAACTGAACGACTAAGAGTTTGTGCAGCAAACTTAACATTAATTTTGTGACGCTGGAAATAAATGTCTTTTTGAGATTTTATTTGCAAATTTTAATCCTTCCTCTTCTTGTATTTCATATAGACCTTTTATATAACTCCATTTAATGTATTTTCCATCACAATCCTAAAGTACTTGTAAATCATATAACGCATTTCTAGGTAATTTTAGCATAGACTTGGGTCAGGGATACAAGTAGTGATTATAGTCTTCAAAACTAAATCTTCCATTATTTTTTTCTATTCTTTTCCCATATGTACACCCTACTGATGCAACAGAATTAAATTTGGCATTTACACCATCAAATGTAATGCTACGTACATTAATTTTTTTTATCAGAAGAAATTGTTAATGCTTTTTTAATAAGACATGAAAAGTTTCCTGCTGTTATTTTACTACACAGTATATAGCCAAAAGGTGTTTTCCAATGACCTCGTAATCCTACCAGCATTAATATTAATGCTTCTGTAGCTGGTGTATGTGGTTCAATTGCAACAATATCTTTTCCATAATCTGTAAAGCCAATGAATTGACCAGTCTTTTTATCGTTTAGAACTGGTGTTTTCGCCATGGTATCTATAATTAACGCACAATCTTTATAATTAATGTCAGTCTCTGCTTTTATACTAAAAAAACATCTTCAAAAAAACCAGGTTAACAATCTATAGAAAAAGTCCAGTTGGGTAAAGAGCTTGAAGCAGGTAAATGGAGTATAGACCATAAAAAATTGCTTCAGACGAATAAAAAAGCAGAGTTATTGCAAATTTTTTAATTTCATCAGTGTACCTATGCCCTTTTGGAAGTAAAGTATTATTTTTAAAATGATTTTTTATAATACCAAAAGTTAACCCACTAAAAGAATATCTAAAGCCACATCTTCAGAAACAATTTTTTTTTTTGCTAAGATTTTTTAGCATAACTTTTAAGGAATTTATTTTTTCTTTTCGTTGCAACTTTTGTTTAAGAATTTTTAATTAATATTTTAATTTTAATTTTGCTTTTTATTTGTCGATAGTGTACTTTTGGAAATAATAGTACCATTAATAATTTTGTTACTACTTTTAACAACATTATTTTTTTTATTTTTTTTTTTTACATTATATTTTGCCGTTGAATAATTATTACAGTTTACATAAATTTACAATATTATTATTATATTATTATTATAATATTATATATATATATATATATATATATATATATATATATATATATATATATATATATATATATATATATATATATATATATATATATATATATATATATATATATATATATATATATTTATATATATATATTTATATATATATATATACAGTACCTGGCCACAATATTATGATCACTTCAGTTTTTCCACTTATTTTGTTTTCAAAGTTATTTTAAAGTAATTTTAAGGTGAGTATATTATTATTACTAACTTATTATACAATACTGACATCTATCAAATAAAATAGAAAAGATGAATTTATTTATAGTCATGACCAATGTGAAGTAAGGTGTGTTTTAAGTCAGCAATGTGAATTTTTGTTAATTTAAAAAAAAATGTGGTTGATCTGTCACATACATTTTTTTTTACATTTTAACAGTTTTTTTTGAGTGAAAAGTGTTTTATTATTTTTAATACATTTTATAAAGTTACTATAAATAGCAAGAATTAATATATAGTACCATTTTATTAACATTTTTAGTGTAACAGGTTGTAATTTAAAATTTCAATAAAAAATAAACATGGGTAAAGGTAAGGATATAAGTCCAAGCAAAATTTCAGAAGTAAAAGCACTTTTACAACATTCAGAACATTCACAACGGGAAACTGCAAAAATGTGTAAAGTTTCGCAACCTTTTGTCAATAAAATCAAACACAAAATGAAAAACGACATCACTCTTTCTACAAAAAGGAAAGGACGGAGTGGGTCAAAACGTAAAACCACTTCCAGGACAGACAGAATTATAAGAGATATATGTCTGGAAAATAGAAAAAAATCATCCCTCTTGCTGTCAAAACTTGTTCAGGAGTATGGAATACAAATTTTGGAGCGCACAATGAGGAGACGTCTGGCTGAAGTTGGTTCAAAATCACACAAACCGGTTAAAAAACCAAGGCTAACTCCAGCAATGATAAAAAAGAGATTGCAATGGGCAAAAAATCATAAGTATATGACTATTAAAGATTGGGAACATGTAAATTTATCAATTTTGAATGAAATATTGTTAAAAAAGTGTTTAAATGTTGACATAAACTTATTTACAACCTCACTATGATGATTTTTTCAGGTGTGTTTTTCAGACGAATCAATTTTTGAGATCTTGTTGGAAAAAACCACCTTCGTCCAAAGAAGACCAAACGAAAAATATCATCCAGATTGCATTGTACATCCAACTAAAGTTATGGTGTGGTCAGTTATCAGTGGTAAAGGCACAGGAAGACTATATATTGTCAATGGGATGATGAACCAATATATATATATATATATAAATATATATATATATATATATATATATATATATATATATATATATATATATATATATATGTATATATACATATATATATATATATATATATATATATATATATATATATATATATATATATATATATATATATATATATATATATATATAAATATATATATATATATATATATATATAATATATATATATATATATATATATATATATATATATATATATATATATATATATATATATATATATATATATATATATATATATATATATATATATATATACCCATATATAAATACACACAAAAAATAAAAAGCGAGAAAATATGATTTGTGATAACTGTTATTGTCAATAAATTTTTAACCTTTTTTTAATGATTACAAGGAATATTTAGTTAGCTTGTTTTTAGTTTTTAATTGATATATCTGATCTATTTTAAAAGAAAAACTTATAACAAAATAAATTAAAATCTGTGTTTAACAAAAGCTGTTTTGAATCAGTTTTGAACTGATGTTGAGAAGTTTTCTTTTCGGAAAAATTGTTTGGAAATCTTTTCAACAAAAGTGGTTTGCGGAAAATCTTGGTAAAATCAAGGTAAAATTAGGACGTCCTAGAGACGTCCTAATTTTACATTGATATTCTTTTAAAAGTTATAAAAATGATTTACAATACACACCTTGGATTTGATTTAATCTAGACAAATTGCCTAATTAAATTGCTGTTAAGAAAGTTCAATACAAAATTATTCAAAATTTTTTAAGGAAGCATGTTGGTCTTATACATCATTAGAAAACTTAGAATGTACACTTTGCAACGTTTGTTATTTGTAAAGAAATATTTTTGCTTAATTTTTTAATATTTTTAGTGAAATAGAGAAAATTTTGATTTGATTTTGATTTTTTATTTCAATTGGAATTTTCCTTATTGTCGAAAGCTGTCGGTGTCGAGTTAATCACTCTATTTTAGAATTTATCTAGTCAGTAATATAAGAATTAAAAAAAAACTTGCGCAATTTTTGCGCCAGACTTTATTCAGAAGCAATAATGTCTATTGCAGGTAAATAAAAAAATCACCAAAAACTACTGTTCTTCTTTTTTACACAACATTTAACTAAAAGTAAGTTAATAATATCAGAACAACACGAATTTGTTAAATCAAAAAATTGTGCGACAAATCTTCTTGAGACTTTAGATATAGTAACAGAAGCAATTTATAGTAGAAAATTTATTGTTGCTTTTTTGAATTTTTTTAAGGCATTTGGTTCAGTTCCGCTTTCCAAGCTGCTCTTGAAACTGAAACCATTTGGTATTGTTGGAAAACTGTTGCTATGGTGTAAAGTCTTTTTAACAAATCAAAAAATAGAGAGTTGTTTTGGGAGTATTTGAATCAGAATGGGAATCGGTTTCTTGTGGGGTACTAGGTTAAAAATGAGGCACTTAGTTCATAAACCCAACTTGAGAAAATGCTTGCAGATCATAAAAAAGTAAAAGAGACCTAAGTAGTTATTTAAAAAGTTTCTTTAAAAAAATTAGTCATAAATCATCTAATTACATAATTTATATACAGCTTAATACACGGGTTTATAGTCTCAGTTCTGTTCCGCAAATTATCACAAAATCGTTAAGTAAGATAAATATTTCGAAGTGATAAATTTGGTTAGGAAAGATATTTAGCGTTAAAAAAAATTTATATCAAAGATTTTATATCAAAGTAATATCAAAATGTCATACTCTGTTTCTCAAATTTTTTCTCAAATCTTCTCAAATTCTAGAAATATTTACTTTTCTAAACAGTTTTGAGATATTTTGCGGAACAGAACTGAGACTATAAATCCATGTATTACATAATTTACATAGATAGTTGGAGTTTAACTTAAAACTGGTATGTAAAATTAATAGTTGAATTTATGTATACCCTTGTAAGACTTTAGCTGACTGATAGTCCAGTAGGGATGCTTTGTCCGTCGGACGTCCTTCGGACTTCTTGCGGACGTTTGGACGTCCTTAGAACGTTGCTTACCCGTTGGCCGACTTTCATACGTCTTAAACTTCTGCGCAATACTTTAGAACGATAGAAATAAATTGTTGGATTTGTTAGTGATTTTAGCATTGTTAGCATACTACTCCATAAATATAAGGTATGCGTCCAACTCCATAGGTAAGAGTTTTTTTTCAAATGCCACAAATACAATAGTGTCAAAATAGGAAAATACGCAAAACATGTTGATAAATACACCATCATCGTTAAACTGTTTATTTTTGCATCGCTTGTGACTTTTTTTTCTGCTATTTTAATTTCATTAATCTGATGCGCATTTTTTATTTCATTTGATGTATATTCGTTTGGATTGTGGGCTGATATTTGACGTCTAACCAGTTTCGCTCTATTATGCAATTGAGTATGAATGTATAAAACTAATGGTATAAGTATGGGAGAGATAGATAAGATAAATAACTCACATAAAACTCTGTTTTGAGTTAAAAAACTAAATCCTGTAACAAGCATTACAACTGTAGCAATAATGATATTCCACTTTATGTAGAAACGTGGGTTTCCATCTACATGCTTTTGATAGAAAAAAGGTTGAAAAACTGCAAAGTAACGATCAAATGATGTCATACTAACTGTTAAAAAAGATAAAAATCCAAATGCATAAAAAGTAAAAATTGTAAATAAAAATAAAACACAGTTATGGCTCATTGAAACTGACATTATTAAAACTACTGCCATTGAAACATTTGCAAACATTCCAACGAGTAAATCCCAAAATGATGTAATAGCTAACAAAACATTAAAAGGAGAATGCATTTTCCGATAGTAATAGGTTACTCCAATAATTCCAATATTCATAAAAACAATCGGGCCGGATGAAAACAAAAATAAACAAATAATAGCATATATACTTCCATTGGTATGTACCTGCAATGGAACGATAAGGATAGTATTAGAACAATTGATAAAAAATAACGAAACATTCGTGCTTATCATTTTTTATTTTAATACTTTTTATTTCTTTTTAGCTTTTTAAACAAACTAATATATTAAACTTTAACTAAATTGATTTAATAATTATAGAAAATTCAACAATGCGTTAATAAAAATATCAGCTTTTAAGAGAATCGCTTCAAAATAGCACTCTATTCGCAGATGTTTTTTCGATAATTGTTTCTTTATGGCGGCTAGTTCTTATAAATGTCTCAATTGCAATCAATTACTTGTTAGTGTTTTGGTAAAATGGCAAAACGGTTATTGGTTTGTATAAAAAGTATTAATCAAGGGGATTCCGAAAAGTTTTCAATGTGTCAAAATTAGCCTGTTAAAAAATTTCCTAAAATTATAATTTCAAAATGTTCCAAAACATCATATCAACTAAATTGATTGTATAACATTCGATTATTATACAACCAATCTTTGTATTATCTATTATGTGTTGTGTATAAATACTATTAACCGAAAAAGTAGACCTTATTGCAAGGCTCTTATAACCATTTTTCTCTTTTAGAAAAGCAATTTTATATTTAAATTATTTATTAACTAATCTTTTGTCTCTAATTAAATACAATTGGTTAAAAAATTTTTTTTTTCAGTTTAACGTCAACTGGAAATCTAATATCTGGAAAATATAACTACTATCAATTTTTTAATGATTCATTTTGTAAAACAAAATCATTAAAATTTGTTTATTTACACATTGGAACAAAAACTAGTAAAAATTATTTGAACTTTTCATATAATCGAATAAGATTTAAAATTTTTAAAACTTTTAAAAAATGTTTATTTAAAAAAATTACAATACATTTAAAATGTAACATACTTGACGACTTATTCTCATCATTATTTTCATATTTTGATAGAAAAAAAAACTTTTTAACGTCTTAGCTCATAATCAAATTTTTTTTTTCAAAATACTGCATAAGTAAATCTGTAACTTTATAACAATCATTTTTTTTTATTAGCTATTTAGGTGCTCCAAGAAGTCTTAACAGTTTTATCACAGAGCACGGTGGATTAGCATTTAACCAGAAAGTTCACGCCTTCTTCCTTACCAATGATGCATATATGGCCAGATCCGGCTTCGAACCTCGGTCGTTCAGTTCTGAAGCCAGAACTCTAACCACTACACAACAATTTCTCTCAAACTTCCTGAGATTAGGACAAATACAAAACATTAAACGGCTGTAGCACCATACAAAACATTAAACGGCTGTAGCACCATATTTATTAAAATATATTTATTTCTTATGAATATGGTGGCGCTATATGTGTAAATACAGAGTTTAATTTTAAATTAAAGATTGATTATTTGTTTTAAATTCAATTGTTCAACAATTCATAAAATGATTGGTGCAAATAATTGGCGAATAACCCTTTCATTTCACGCAAGCTTGATTTTTCCAACTTTTTGAAGGTGTCTCCTCTGACCCATTTTTTTAAACTAATAAACGAAGTAAACCCAATTTAATTTCTCCAGTAACATACAACAACGAATACTCAAAAACTTTGTAAATGTGCAATGAATATTCAATAGATCGATTTCAAGTAAATGTTTTTGAAAAGTCTTGAACTTTTTAATGTTATTAATAGATCTGACAATAAACATAAGCAAAGCTTAAATAGCGAATAACAGTGGCGGACTGGCTAACTATATTTTACTGGTCAGGTAAATAATAAGGGGCCCTCCTAACATTCATAAGTTACTAAGACGGCCTGGTCCGCAACTTTGGAAAAAATAGTTTATAACATTTCAAGTGGTCGTTCTTTTTAACATTCCAAGTGAACTGTAATTCACAATCTCATCATGAATAATTTTAAATTTATATATATATATATATATATATATATATATATATATATATATATATATATATATATATATATATATATATATATATATATATATATATATATATATATATATATATATATATATATATTGTATAATATATAATAAATTGTAAATAGATACGTGGCAGAAAAAATTTAAATTAATTAAATACTATAATGTCAAATATCATTAAAAAAACCATTTATTACAGTATTTTATAGGTAAAAAATATCGAAATTGAACAATTCTACAACTCTTTGTAGTTACATAAACGATCAAACAAAACGAACAATTCTTTGTAGATACATAGTCTAAATTCTTATTCAATCTGAAATCCTAACTGCCCATCCAAGATCCGTTATTAAATTATTTTACACCTTGGCAGTGTCCATATTAACTTGCGATATGCTATTTTGAAGAAAACAATGACGTGATCATGAAAAAACTAGACAGAATTGGAAAGAGTTTGTTAAAATTGCTTTTAAACTATTCGAAATTTTGAAAAAATTAATTTAAACTCGTCATTTAAAACTCAAAAAAAAAATTATTACTAAACAGAAAACAAACATTCTTATTGCTTATTTGATTTTTTTTGTTAAGATGTCAAGTAAAAAAAATTTATCTAGAAAAGTTAAAAGCAAAAATGGAGTGGATGTCATCCGAATAAAAATTATTCTCTTGTTCAGCTTCATGAAAATAAAGTTCATGCAAAAAGCATTTTATATTAAACTTTTCCATTTTACTAGCTTTCATGATAATGATTATCGATAATTTTGCCCTAAAAATACAACTAAAACATGGTGTAAGCACTGGAAAAAGCAAGGTGTAAGCAAGAAAAATACAAATTCATCTATGTCAATTTCACCACGAATAAAGAAATTAATTCTTCCTATTATTCAAGACCTACAGGCTGATGAGTTACTCAAAAAATTTCTGCATGGTGAAACTCGGAATGGTAATGAAGGAGTAAACTCTTTGGTATGGTCTCGTGTACGCAAAAACAATTTTGTAGGGAAAAAAGTTCTTAAAATGGGTGTCCATTCATCCAGTGATCCATTACAATAATGGTGCAAATGGTGTATTAAATGTACTAAAGTATTGTGGATTAATTGGTTCAGTAACTTGAAAAAATCAATTTTAGTAAATATTGCTCGTGTTAAATGAATGAATTTAAAATCGAATAATGAAGTAAAAAATAAGAGAAAATCTTTAAGATGAATTACAAGGTTTCCTATGAATAGGATATTAAATAGGATAAGAAAAAGAATTTTATGTAGCTGGTTCTTAGCAATTTTAACACTTCAAAATGATTTATTCTTTTTTTATTTCTTGTATTTTTTGGATAAATGTCTTATTTAGGGTTTTTTAAAATTCAAAACATGATAACTTAAGTAAAGTTTATCTTTATGAGCTGAAATTTTCAGGAAATGTTTATTTAATATTAATGCTCCGGTTAATCCATGGGTTTTTCTTGGATTTGGTTAGATAAAAAGTGCTAAATTATATTATATATATCATTATTATTCGTTTAACAAACTCTTTTTTTTCTTCTTTCTTATTTATATATATATATATATACATTTTTTTTTTGTTTTTTTTTTTTGTTTTTGCTTTTCGTTTCTTCTTTTTTTTTTTGATGTTTTTATGAGTTTTATGTTTTTTAGGTGTCACTCCATTGACTAGTTTGTAACTATATAAATGATACCTAACCAAATTCTATTAATTTACGATAAGATTTGTAAATTTTTACTGATATGGTTGAATAAAAAAAAAAAAAAAAAAAAAAAATCAATAGAGGAATTCAAAAATTTTCAATTTTTTTAGTAAATTCGTGATAAAAAGAGTAACTTTAAAAAAATTTAAAAAATCATGATCTAAACGGTGTATAATAAGTTGTTTTATAACTGTACCGATTTTCAATCCATAATCTTTTTACTAAATCAAGATATTATGTTTTCAAATACAGGATTTGTTGTTCTTTCTTTCCGCCATTATGGGTTTTTAATAAGTTTCAAAATTTATCTTTTTAAATAAAAATAATTATAACGATTTATTAAAAGAAGTTTTCATCAAAAAGACACATTTTGTATAATATTTCACAGTTTCATTTTTTCCCTGGTGTACCACCTTCAACGGCTTTGTATGTAAAATATACTTTATCATACTTATATTATCATACCAATATCACACCTACAGTTCTATAAAGTATGTAGTTAAAATGCAGTCTACTCCTTTGTCAACACAAACAAAACAAAAAAATAAATAAAAAAAAAAAGATTTTCGAAATCTTTACTAAATCAAAAAAAGAAAAACTAAAACAAAACGTCTCAACTGTTTATAGGTAAAATGAAATAAAATTACTTGTTACTAATTAAAAGTCAGTGAGGTTGTGATTTTTAAATACGTGGTTTTTTAGAAAGGGTCTATATTGCATAAACTACGTCTTATAAATAAATGACGTAAGACCATAGTAGAGTGAACGTTAGTTTTAAGATATAGTATGATTCAATTTTTTTTCTAAGTTTGTTTGTTCGCTAATTTTCAAGTTAAATACTCGAATATCAAAAAAAAAAAAAAAAAAAAAAGGCAAAGACAATAATTTTTTAAAAATTATATTTTGCAGTTTTTTTATTTTTCTTTGTGTATTTTATGTTTGTTAGCTGAGAAAAATATTTATGAAACTTTCAAGAATACAGATTCAGTATTTTGGAGTTTGATACTTACTGACGACGAAGTTAGAGATAGCGAATATAACGCATGCGATTTGAAAAACATTCATAAAAAGTATTTTATTAAAGAAAACAAATAAATTATTTATAAAAATCATGATAGCTGTAGTTACGTAAATGAGACACGCGTATGACGTTATTAACTCATGATAAACGGTAGAAATTTGCTAATTTATAGTGAAAAAGTTATATTGTAAAAATGGTGCTTATAAAAATCAACTAGTAAAATTCGTTATCTAAATCCTAATTCTGGTGAAGTAGTCTCAATAGATGAAAAATACCATACTCAACAAAATACAACAATTTGGTTTTAGAATATGCTGAAAAATCCTTAAAAATTGATTTGATTTTTAGTTTCTTAGTTGCGAAAACAATAAAACGGAAACTCATTTAAGGGAAAGCGGGGCAACATGGCGAACGTTTTGAAAGCCCTGAGTTATTGCAAAACTATCAGTCGTGA